TAACATCGGTGATTGTTGCTTCATCTACAGAACAAATAGTAGACTTGCTGCTCGAATGACCCGGCTCCAATCCCTGCGCTGATGGGTTCGATCTTGGTCCGTTTCCGAAGAAAAATCCAGGTGGCAGAGGCACAGGCAATGCAATTGAGCTGGTTGTGAGCATTTGGTGAATCGTCGACATAGTTGGACGATCTGCAGGAGTTTCTTGAACACATAATAGCCCAATATGAATGTATCTAATGACTTCATCGCTTTTACAGTCTTCTCTGATACCAGGATCTATGAGCTCAGGCAATGCTTTGGTCTTCCATAGTCTCCAGACCTGTAGAAGTTATGGAATATATACTCAGAACTTTGATCACAGTTAAAAAGAATTAAACAAAGTTTGGGACTAAGTTATAATTGCTTACATATGTGACTAAGTTGTTCACTAAACCATTCATTTGGTAGAAGCTACTGTTCTTTCTGCCACTAATGATCTCAAGAATCAATACTCCAAAGCTATATACATCTGATTTCATCGAGAATTGCCCATGCGTCACATATTCAGGTGACATGTAACCGCTGCAAAATACAGGTTAAGTCAGCGGCAAAATGGTTCACTAATCGAACTTTATCAGGTCCATTTAAGGATATGCTTACAAGGTTCCAACTACTCTTGCTGTATTGGCTACAGTTTGGTCCATTCCAAAGATCCTTGCCATTCCAAAATCAGCAATTTTCGGGTTCATGTCGGCATCTAAGAGAATGTTACTCGCTTTGAGGTCACGATGTATGATCTTGAGCCGTGAATCTTGATGAAGATATAAAATTCCTCGAGTGATTCCCCCGATTATGTTGCGTCGCACTGTCCAGTCCAACTGAACTCTCTTATCAGGGTCTGCATATACATTCATACATAATCACACTAAGCTATGTACAAGACGAATAAACAAAAGATCAAGAGAATAACAGAGTTAAAATCAGCAGACCGAAGAGGAAATAGTCGAGGCTTTGGTTAGGAACAAACTCATAGACGAGTAATTTCTCTTCTCCTTGTAGCGAAAACCCGAGAAGCCTAACAAGATTTATGTGCTGAAGCTTTGCAACAACAACAACCTCGTTCTTGAACTCTACTTCGCCTTGTCCTGATGTTTTCGAAAGTCTCTTTACGGCTATTTCAGTTCCATCTAAGAGCAAGCCCTTGATATAATTTACAAAATAGGCATCATCATTTCATTGTTTCTCCACAAAAGAAGCAAGCGAGGTGGACAAAGAGCTTGTTATGTACATATATACCTTGTAAACCTCACCAAATCCACCCTTACCAATCTTGGTATGCTCAGAAAAGTTGCTTGTTGCAGCTTCAATTGTCTTTAAATCAAATTGAACAGATTCCGCTTCATTTCAGACCATTATTAAGCTCGTCAAAACCAAAACCAAAACCAATGAAGATTTTTACAAACAAACAAACAAACGATTAACTCACTTGGAAGCTCAATTTCTTGCTTATGCTTTCTCCTCTTGAAAATAGCTATGCCTACTCCAATCAATATTATAAAAACGAAACTAACAATGACTATCACAACGATCATTACTCTCGAGATTCTTCCAACTGCACAAAACCACCAAATCACCAAAAACATAACTACACAAAACCAATAAAAAAGAAAGCAAGAATTGCTCTGAAAATGTTTCCAACAGAGACATGCCTTTTCTTATTGTATTCTTGGTCTGGTCGGTTACAGGCGGCGGTAAATGCGGAGTCAAAAGTGCCGGTGAAGTATTAATATTATCAAAAGCACCTGAGAAAGTATACAATTCCCACCGGAAAAAACAACTTGGCCGCAATATAATACAACCTCTCTTCCCATGGAGCTCTGTTTTGTAGTAACCAACGCTTGTCTCTAGACAAAGTTGACAATCATTTGAAGAAACATCTGGAGCGCATTGCATCACCACCGATATGTTCCCGTAAACCGGCACGGGAAATACATCCTTTGCATAGTATTTACTACTAGACCACGATAAAGAAGAAGACGAAGAAGCTCTTGTGATCATACGAGACATCAAACCGTTCCACACACTATCAAACTCCTTCTGGTCTTCTTTTTTAATGTCTACTCGGTTATAAAAAAAGTTAAACGGCTTTGAGACAAGGACTCCGGAGAAGGACTTGCTAGAGTAACGAACAAGGCAAAGGAGTTCTTCACCTAACCATGAGAAAGCATCTGTTTGGTTTGGACAGAACTGTAATAAACCATCTGATGTGGATTTGATACAGTTGGAGCAAGCCTCTGGTCCAGCACCTGGAGAACACATTCCCATGATGTAGATACTGTCGTGGCCTAGCCCGATCGAGCCGTTGAAGTAGCCGTTGTGAGCCGTGACGTTAGAAGGCAGAGTAGAGTTGATGAGACGGAGGTTCTTGCCATATGGACTATTGGGTTTGTAATTCCCAGCAGTTTCGTCACAAGTAAATTGTTCTGAAACAGAAATGGCACTCAAGGTAGTGGTAAAGAAGCAGAGGATTAAAACAGAGCTCATCTTTCCCATTTTGTTGTTGTTTCTTTAGATAATTCAGATCATGTGTGTGTATAGATCTTATGAATTTATCGACTACGTACAGTGATTTCAGTGGGAGACTTTGACCTTCTAAGTCATCCTTGACATTAGTGTGTATTTTTAGAGTGAATAAAAAAGCAAGGGAAATGAACCAGAATGGTATTATCGGAGCACAAATTATTTGACCAAAAATGTGTATTTAGTTCCACCATCAGGGCCCAGCAAGCAGTTGGAAGGGACCAAGTAATGAATACTTTTGCATATTATTCGATAGCGTGTAATTAAGACTAGGACCTTTTTGCATTATAGCATTGTGAAGGACATGAAAAGTTGAAATCACGATTGGGTATTGGCGGATCTCCAGTGATTTCTCATCAATTTTCTTTATGTACAATGCATGAATACATGCAAATTCTCTTGCGTTGAATAGCAATGATCTCTTTACATCGAAGGGTACTACTTGAATCTCTTTATAAAATTCTCTTGAGTTGATTTTCTCTATCATTTTTTTATTTTTATTTTGTATCCATGAATGATGACTCAGATTATCCATTGCCTTGAATCTTGTCATCCAAAATAGCTGATCAAGAAAACGCCTCAGTCTGGTGCAGTAGCTTTTCAATCTGGTATATCAACTGAGTACAAACATGTCTAGATTTCTCTCCATGGAGTTTTGGCTCCACTTATGATATGTAATAATATTGAAGTGGAAGCAAACTTTAGCTTAACTAAGGTTTGTATTACAAAGTATTCAGTGATTAAGACTGTCATTATTAAATTGTAGTCTAAGAGATTAGTGTAATAGTTCAATTAGGATTAGACAAACTAAAATATTGAAAGAAAAAGATAGTGTTTAGTGCTTCTCAAAGTCCATTAATTTCAGGACACAATCATTTGTAGGTCACACTCATGCTTCTTTGTTCACCACTTTAAACCTGCATCTGATATATACTCCCACTTCGAATAAGCATGTCAAAAATAAAGAAACCTATGGAACATTACTTCAGATGGAAAGAGAGACTTTTTCTAAAAAGTAACTTTGGATTCCACTAGCTAAAATTGATATTACAATCTTTTCCCTTTCTCAAACAAGAACCGGTTTAGTTATCTCTAAACCGAAACACCGGTTTTGTCTCTTAAGGATCATCTTGTAGTGGCAGCTTTATTCCTGCAAAGTCTTTGACAGTGTAACCAATCTTCTCAAACTTTCCTACTTCATTACTCTGTCTGAATTTCAGATAATCCGAACACTTGAACGACTTGTAGCTCCTGCAATTTCCTTCCTCCACCATTTCTTGTGGAGCAAGTATCACTTTCTCATCTTCAAAACAGAGAAAAAACGCCAGAGAGACTCTGTTCACAAACTTTCTCAATACCACTCGATGTTCGGAAGATCTCAGCTGTCCGTTACTCCACGCCTGCATAAGATCTCCAATGTTAACAACAAGAAGATCCTCACATGGATCTATATCGATCCATTTCCCTTCCTTAGACCTCATCTGAAGTCCACCAACTGAATCTTGATAGACTATTGTTATGCAGCTCATATCCGTGTGCATACCGAGACCTTCAACGACCTCTTCTTGCTTCTCTACATCGTGTGGAGGTGTGTAGTTCACTAATCTTAAGTATCCATGACAGTTACTAAACTCAGTTTGATAAAATCTCTTCCCGGTTTCGTCTCCTAAAGTCATCATCAAGAGTATCTTCACGAGTCTTTTCGATAATTCCGCCATTTTAGCACCATATTCTTGCAGTGTTTCTCTGAACAAAGACATAGAAGAAGCAAAAGTGTCAAGCAAACAAAGAGAATGAAGAAGCAAAACCAGTGGTTTTGTTGTAGTGACAAACCTTAACTCTGGTTTATGATGATCCTGGAACAAAACATCTGCAGAAGCTTTTGCAGAACCGGAGAAATCGGGTCCAGAGACAACAAGGCTTTCGAAATAAGGAGAGGCGATGTACGGAGGAGTATATGAAATAGTACCAAGCTTGAGCTTTGATTCAAGAGGAACACTGAAAACATCTCTGGACAAGGAATATATTCTATTGAACATCTCTTTAGAGATTCCATGATTGGTAACATAGAAAAATCCCCACTCTTTACAAGCCTGAGAGAGAGAAGACAGAACAGAGGACTGAATCGGTTGTGTTAAGTCTAACACAGGAAGCTGCAGAGAGCTTTGAAGTTCAGACATTATATATTTATTACTTGTCTTTAAGGATTAAGGTTTAATGAGTAGGGGTAAGCTATGTTATGCATAGGGTTCTATTTATATTAAAGACATGATATAAAGAGGCTTTCTTAGATATGAATAATCTATTATAAGAAAGCAGTAACACTAAAATCACTAATCATTATGTTGGCATTAGAAAGGACTGGTCTATATACACTTTGCTTTGGCTATAGTTTCATTTGCCTATGCATCCTGGAGGACCTCCAAAGTAAACAGCATTTAACCACGGCTCTTGTTCCTCATGAACATATAATATTTTGGATTGGTCGAGCGTGTCTTCATAATGTCGCTTTCTGGATCTAAAACTTTTCCTTTACCATTGATGATTTTGATACTGTTAACATAGGCTGCCTTATTTAACCTCTCCCTAGGCCAATGCCCACTTCCCATAGCTGGAGTCTTCTCTGTCTCTGGACTATACGCTTGACCTCTCCAAGATCCATAATTTTCTCGGTTAGCTAAGTTCGAGGCCACGAGCAATGATGCTGGCCAGTATCCGATATTCTCATTCCCATATGTAAACCACCAATCTCCTTTGGCGCGATCCTGTTCCTCGATATTAAAATATAAATCCAAATGAGCTTGATGAGAAGTGATTAGAGGTAAGTAGAGATTTAGAGAATCTGGACATTACCTGATACAAGCTTAACTGCAATTCACACTGTTTACCATTATAAACTGAAACTGGTTGAAGAAGGGCACCAAGTGGTATCATCTTGCTGACTTGCACAAATCCAGGACATCTTATGTCGTAGCAACCGGTCTGTCCTCTGTGCCTCTTAGCCCAATAAGACAATACATATAGCACTGACTCTCTAAGAAACTGAAAAATATTAGCAAAAGCAAGATGATACACTTGAGCGTTATTATCTTGGTACAGCGACGGATTAACCATCCAACTAACTGAAATGCTGGCAAACTTTCTTCCAGCTCCCCCGCCAACCGCCATGTATGCAAGACTAAGTTGATCTTGTGAGACTTGTGGATCCCAAAGGTTAAAAACTCCTTTTACTTCAGAAAAACTGTTAGGTCCATAATCAACCACTGCAAACTAACAAACATAAAAGAACAGAGAACGTAAGAAAAAAGAAAGCAGAGAATATGGTGGTTGGTACTCTCAAACTAAGGGGTTCTTACATAAGATTTTCCATTTGAATCAGTGCTATTTCTCTCTTTAATAAAATGTCTCGGGCCATCGATTTCAAACGCTGTGAATTAACAAGATCTTGCATTGTAGTCCTTCTAACAATTACTGTTCCATCTGGACAATTCATGCCTTGTTGCAGAAGCTGAAAGGGACCAGCTTTCTATGAAATATTGTTGCTTGTGATCCATTCAGGTACAAGTGTTGGCTTCAGCTGCATTTACGCAAACGTGTTAAAATTTTTAATCATTCTCTAAAGAGCTTCATTTTGTATACAAACGACAGGAGATTAAGAGATAATTATGAAGGAGAACCTGAACAGAGTGGTTTTTTAGTAGATGGTGATCAAAGGCTAGTTGCTTGTGAATATCGATACAATCAAATAGAGCACCTTGTTTCGTCTGTTCAAAAGGAAAACAAACTGATTATATATGAAGAAATGGAGAAAACAAAATTATTCATAATGTAAAAGACAAGACCTACCCTGAAACTCTTGATTGCAGGTTTGTTGATAGCTTTGAGTTCTCTCAAATTCTTTCTTTTCGTATTCAGATGGTATTGCTCGATGTTTGTGAGCTGCTTCCGCGACTAAAATAAGAGCAATTGTTAGCAGAATCAGTAACACAAAATCGTTCAAGGAAGCCATTGATTCTCCAAAAGAGAGTCTTATCTTTCCTCTGCAAACGAAAAATGAATCAAAAGTTATTATGTGTTTGCCAAGAAACCCCTACTTATTTATAGATTGCCAAGAAAAGTCAATGAAATCAGAGTGCAATAATTGCCATTAATGTGTTTTGAGATTTAATAACTTTGCATATGTATAATTTTTTGGGGGTTAATTAGTTGAATATCATTTTTAGAAGAGAAAAATCAGTAAATAACATGTCAAAAAATAGAATTAGGTGAGTAGCATAGATAATTAAATAAGAGACAAAATTACCTCTACATGAATCCATGAAAATATTAATTGTTTTTAAGGACATAGTTGACTATAGTTTACATATCCAGAATGTAGAAGTGGAAAAACTGAAAATGACAATATCTTATTTTTGAGCTTCCAATCATTACCAACTTATAAGTAACAGTAGAATCAGCATGTCTTGTTAACTAAATCATTATGTTGGTGTCAGAAAGGCTGATAATTTATGATGATTTGATTGTGACATTTTACGCTTTGGCTTTGGTTTCATTATTTTCAGCCTCATATCTAAAAATCATCATATGTTCAATGTATATTGTATAAAACGCTAAAAGATTCATGAACCTTGGTTATTCACAAAAGCATATATAAACGGTATATAAGAGTTATCTTGTAATTCTTCAGATCATTTCCCTATGCATCCTGCAGGACCTCCGTAGTAAACAGCTCTTAACCAAGGCTCATCATCCTCATGAACAATGTCGCTGGCCAGTACCCAACGTTCTCATCCCTATATTTAAACCACCAATCTCCCTTGGCAAGATCCTGTTCCGGATTTAATAAGATGAATCGAAATGACTTTGGTAAGAAGTTATCAAAGATGAGTAAAGACTCTAGACTTTACCTGATATAAGGTTAAGTTTATTTGATATTGTGTACCATTTTAAATTGAAACTGGTTGAAGCAGAGCACCAAGTGGTACATTCTTGCTAACTTGCACAAATCCAGGACATGTTATGTCGTAGCAACCGGTCTTTTTCCAAGGTGCCTATTAGTGAAATTAACCAACATTAGTCCCTGAGAAATCGATAAATATTAGCGCACGCTCTAATTGGTAACTCAAAACTTACAATCCAGGAGGCGTATAAGTGAACGTGATCATTTTGATATAGTGATGGATTCACCTGTTGTATATATATATATTCCAAACATTTGTCAGCTTCAAATTCATGCGACTTACTAATGGAAAAGGAACCAGAAACTGACTTACCATCCACCCAACTGAAATGCTGGCTACTTTTCCTTTATCGCCCCCGCCAATTGCCATGTATGCAAGACTAAATTGATCTTGTGGATCCCAAAGGTTTAGGATTCCTTTTACTCCAGAAAAACTGCTCAGTCCATAATCAACCGTTGCAAATTAACATACAT